TTGACTGACAATTGATTGGCATTAATTGACAAAGATTGATGGTTCTAAGCCAATAAGTACCTCATATATTAAAAGTAGGTCACTGTGACCTTCTTATGATTGACATTCTCCGAGGACCAAAGATGCATCAACTATCAGAGTTTGATGATTCCATGCCAATAAGTACCAGAGATACTTAAATAAAGCCATAAAATGTCAAAAATTGGTCACCGTGACTTACTTTTTGGTCGACATTTTCCCAGAACCCAAGATGCATCAGCTGACAATGTTTGATGATTCTAGGCCAATAAGTATCTGAGATAATTAAAAGTAGGTCACTGTGACCTACTTTTTGGTCGACATTCTCCGAAAACCCAAGATGCCTCAACAGACAATGTTTGATAATTCTAAGCAAAAAAGTACCTAAGATATAACCATAAAATGTCAAAACTAGGTCACAGTGACCTACTTTTTGGTCGACATTCTCCGTAAAACCAAGTTGCATCAAATGACAAAGTTTTGATAATTCTAAGCCAAAAAGTACCTAAGATACTTGAATATAGGCATAAAATGTCAAAAGTAGGTCACCATGACCTCCTTTTTGGTCAAATTTTCAGAGGGCCCAAGATGCATCAACTGACAATGTTTCATGATTCTAAACCAATAAGTACCTGAGATAATCAAAGTAGGTCATTGTGACCTACTTTTTGGTCAACATTCTGCAAAATACCCAAGATGCCTCAACTGACAATGTTTGACAATTCTAGGCCAATAAGTACAGAGGATACTTAAATATAGCCATACAATTCAAAACTAGGTCACAGTGACCTACTTTATGGTCGACAAATTCCGAAACCCAAGTTGCATCAACTGACAAAGTTTGATAATTCTAAGTCAAAAAGCACCTATGATACTTGAATATAGCCATAAAATGTCAAAACTAGGTCACAGTGACCTATTTTTTGGTCGACATTCTCCGAAAACCCAAGTTGTATCAACTGACAAAGTTTGATGATTATAAGCCAAAAAGTACCTAAGATACTTAAATATAGCCATAAAATGTCAAAAGTAGGTCACCGTGACCTACTTTTTGGTCAACATTTTCCGAAGACCCAAGATGCATCAACTGACAAAGTTTGATGATCATAGGTCTGAAAGTATTCAATATATGCTTTTTAAACAATGTGAAAACAAATGCCTGCAAAATTCAAAACGTAGGTCACAGTGACCTACTTTTTCATAAATATATTTTAAGGCCCCAAGATGCATCAACTTACAAGATTTGGTGAATCTAAACCTTTCAGTATCTGAAACAATGGGATTAAATGTTTTAGAAAAGATGGGCCATAAAATTCAAAAAGTAGGTCAAGGTGACCTACTTTTAAGTTGACCTTGTTTAAGGACCCAAGATGCATCAACTGACAAAGTTTGATGATAATAGGCCTTAAAGTGTCCAAAATATGCCTCCAAATCAATTTGAAAACAAAAGCCCGTAAAATTTAAAAAGTAGGTCACCGTGACCTACTTTTGTGTTAACATGATGTGAAGTCCTAAGATGCATCAACTTACAAGATTTGATGATCCTAGTCTTTATAGTAAGCAAAATATCAACGTTTTTATTAAGTGTAAATTTTGGTTAACTTTGAAGTGACCTTGAGACCACGCCCTTTGCCCCAGGGTCATGCCTTGAACAATTTTTAATCTTCAACATATTCTGGACCTTGTATGTAAGTTTGGTGAAAATCTGCCTGGTGGTTCTGGAGAAGAAGATTTTTTAGCAACCAGTACTTTTGGTTCTATTTTCCTGATCATCTCCCCTTGTTTTAGGGTCCCAACCCTAGTTTTAGTATAAATGGTAGCCCTTGGGCCAAGGATACCCTGTAACAAATTTGACAATGATTGGCCAAGGGGTTCTTGAGTTATGGCCCATATTCTAAAAAGTTAACGCACACCGCACACCGCACGACGCACACCGCACAAATGGCCATAGCATTAGCTCTTTGAGCCTTTGGCTCAGAAGAGCTAAAAAAGAGCCTGCTGGAAAAGCTCTCAATAGTCCCACTAAAGCTTATTGTTGGCCAAAAACTTTGAAAGTTGCAAATTATTTTCATAAATCCGATATATACTAAGATTTTTTTTATTTGATCTGGCTTTCATAGATAGTAAAATTTGTCAAAAATAGTAATTTGTTTTATCAAATTACTAATTTGTTTTAACAAATTACTTATTTGTTTTAACAAATTAATAATCTGTTTTAACAAGTTACTAATTTGTGATAACAAATTAATAATTTGTTTCAACAAATTAATAATCTGTTATATCAAATTAATAAGCTGTTATAACAAATTAATAATTTGTTTAAACAAATTAGTAATCTGTTATATCAAATTAGTAGTTTGTTTAAACAAATTATTAATTTGTTATAACAAATTATTAATTTGTTATAACAAATTACTAATTTGTTATAACAAATTGTCAATTTGTTATAACAAATTATCAATTTGTTATAACAAATTATCAATTTGTTTAAACAAATTATCAATTTGTTTAAACAAATTATCAATTTGTTTAAACAAATTGTTAATTTGTTATAACAAATTATTAATTTGTTATAAAGACAAGTCTTGCAATATTAACCAATGTGAAGATTAGGAGAAAAGTTCATCTGATTTAATAAAGGACTTTGATCTAGCATTCTTAGACAATGAATTTCGAATTGCAAGTTAACAATTAACTAAGAATGCATTCCATATTCAGAATTTTTTCTATGTCATCCATAAGTGTAATCTGTTACTATTTCTAAACAGGTGATATACAGACCTGATTAAGAAGTGGCGAAACGGCATCATCTCTTCTGTCTAAAATCACCAACACTGGCGCTACGTCCGTTTTACGGAACTCAAACAGTGCTGCCTCTCTGTTTATAGTATTCTAAAAAAAAATAACACATGTATTAAGAAAATGAAATTTTTGTAAAATTTAGTTCTCAGCCTTCCTTTGTCAGCTAATCAGCACTGGAACCATTCTAGGAACTAAATTAACAAAGATAACAAAGAAATTGAAAATAGGGAATGATATGAAAAGGTCACCATTTTCTGCTAGACACTGACATACAACTTAAAGGCTCATTTATGTCATCTCAAAAAAGACATTCTGTATGACAATTGAATGACAATTTTTGTTATAACAAATTGTCAATTTGTTATAACAAATTATCAATTTGTTATAACAAATTATCAATTTGTTTAAACAAATTATCAATTTGTTTAAACAAATTATCAATTTGTTTAAACAAATTGTTAATTTGTTATAACAAATTATTAATTTGTTATAACAAATTATTAAAGTGTTATAACAAATTGATAATTTGTTATAACAAATTTTTAAAAAATACTGTTGCGGCCCTAATACGCTTCCGTACAAAATTGATTAAGCTCATGAAATTATTTTTTTAGTAACCGAAGACTTTTTATGTGTATCCCATATTTCGTCGATTTACGCGCGTCTACACCTCTGTCTTGGATTTTGAGAAACGCGTACAGAACATACAGATTGAATAACATCACAATTGCTAGAATTTAAATCATTTACATCATATTTTGAATTTTTCTGTCAAATTTTATGCTTGTATTGTTTGTTTTATGGAATTTATCAACATTTTGTTATTGCATGTGCGACGCTCCTGTTACCCGTCTACATGCGTTTTTGACGTAATTGACTGAATAAACGAATTAATATATTGGATAAATGGAATTTTTTTTAACAATATTTTTGTTAAAATGTATTAAGTATACAATTACCGACCGAATGATATATAGTTTTCATTTGGTGAATTGTTTTAAAAAATGAAAATAGGGCAAATGCCGCCGCAATAGCAATTTTTGACCTTTTGACACCAACATCGTGCGCGACGTCCAAATTTGCATTTTAAAATGACAAGGGCAAACTTCAAATTTTACGGCCATGACCAAGTTTTTTTTTCCTTTTAAGATCAAAATCAAAGGGTCAAAATTAATGGCATCTTGTGTCTTGCGAAAGGCCTTGTCACAATAAATACGAATTGTGAAATACGAAAGCCCTAGCACCAAAAGTTAAGACCAAGGTTATTTTTAAAATGGGTCAAACTCGAATGTCAAGTTCAAAGGGGCATCGTTTTGGATATCAAAAGAAAGGTTTTGGCACAAGGAATTCGAATGTGAAATATAAAAGACCTAGAACTAACTGATTAAATGTTATGGCTTAGGTTTAAGTTTTTTTTAATGTATCAAACTCTAAGGTCAAGGTATGTACGTCAAAAATATATATCTTCTTCTTCCTATAAAGTGAAGGGCCGCTGTTGCGGCATTTTCTCACTTTAATTAAAAACGTGTACGTGAGGGGGACTCCACGCATCTATTCACAATTTTAAAAACTGATAAAAACATGTTCTGCTTCATTTACGGTGCTTTAGATCCTTGACTCCTGGTCTTAAAGGACTCAAGGGAAATGGCCGTGGTGATGTCTTCTGGCAGCTGGTTCCATATATACACGTGTACTATAAATAAGCATATTTATTTTAAAAGATCTCGCACATTTAATATACACAGGGGAAATATGAAAGCCATAGGACCAATTGTTTTCAAAAGGGTCAAGGTTAAAGTTTAGTATTAAGGCCGAACTCCGAGGTCAAGGTCAAACACTACGGAGTATATAGATGTTGGTACCCAAAGAACTGAGCAAAATCTATGTATCCACAAATCTTCAAGTACGGTACATTGCACATAGCATAAAAATAGACCCCACCATAGTGTGATCAACCTATGTTAAACTTTAAAAGAAATTGAAAATAACCCCCCACCCCCCTACACACACACTTTGAAAAATTATTTTCACGTTTTCCGCTAGATCAGCTGCATAAAACCGAATCAAACACTTCTTGGAAGATATGTGACTTCCAATTATTTTTCCAAAACGCAGCTTCTTTTCATTTCGGAACAGCCTCGTCGAGGTTGGTTTCTCAATTAGTCTCTATGTAGCGCTTCCTGTAAGAAAATTCGGTCGATTTTCTGTACTTCTGTCAAAATGAATGTTACTTTGGCAATAAAACAGTACATAAGTAAGATGATAGAAGAGAGTGGACCTGGTATGAAGGTTCTTCTGATGGACAAAGAAACGGTAAATCTGTGTACATTTTTATTGTGTTCGTTTGCTTAGTTTATAAATAGATATTATAACTTTTGGGTGTAGAGCAGCTGTACATGTAACGTTAGACGTCTAAATCTGAATATCAACAATGTTTGTTTCAGACGAAGTTATTGTAAATAAAGGGGGTTATAGTAAAAAAAAATCAGCAGGTTTACTTTTCTCAAATATATATTTTTGAATACAAGTTTTGTAGTTTATTCAGTGACATATTCATGTACATAATTTGTAGGCTTTATTTTTACATTTTTTCATTTTTTTCATTTTTGCAGACAAGTATTGTGAGCATGGTGTATGCACAGTCAGAAATTTTGCAGAAGGAAGTCTATTTGTTTGAGAGGATAGACTCTTCAGGTCGAGAGACAATGAAACATCTGAAGTGCATAACATTTCTCCGGCCTACAAAAGAAAATGTAGAATTTCTGGCGCAAGAACTTAGAATGCCAAAATATGGACTGTATTACATCTGTAAGTGTAATACATAATTTATAAGCATCGCAGTTATCTTTCCATATTAAGTTTGCATGATCAAGTTTTATTGTATGGAGATGAGGATTTTTGTTATATTTAAGATTTTAGCAATGTGATCAGCAAACAAGATGTCAAAGTTTTAGCAGAAGCAGATGACCAAGAAGTGGTGCGAGAAGTCCAGGTGAATATATTATCAAAAAATCTTCTTAAAAAGAAATAGAGTACAAATGTAACATGAACCGTCATATACTAAGTTGACAAAGGGGATACTATTTGGGACTTGAAGAATGCTGTTTCATTTCAGGAATTCTTTGGTGACTACATAGCAGTGAATCCCCACCTGTTTACATTAAATATCCCAGGATGTTGTCAAGTAAGTTTTAGAATTATCTTAGTCTAATAGTTTGAGTTCCTACATTTCACTATATATCATAAGTTGTCAGTGTAACTGAATATTTGTACAGCCTTGGTAGTATTTTTATGAATGAAAAATTTATCACACAGGGTAAAGTGTTGCTGAATATTTATTTAATCATTATATTGGTGACTGTAGGCTGCAAACAGATCAACTATAGCTCATGGAATGAGAAGAATAAATAAATCTTTCTCTAATCAAGAAAAATGCAATCTTTACTTTAAAATTTTTATTTCTCCATTTACAGGCTCTGAATTGGTCTCCTGGATCTTTGTCCAGGACAGTAGAGGGATTAACATCAGTGTTACTGTCACTCAAAAAATGTCCAATGATTCGCTATCAGAACTCCTCAGAAATGGCTAGGAGACTGGCAGAAAATGTCAGGGTAAGGGAGAAAACTTTGTGCCAAATCGTTCTGATCTGAAAGCAAATTTAGGTAAAATTTAGTATTCATGGAGATGTACTGATTTCTTATATTCTTACTGATATCTTTTTTGAGATGACATAAATGAGCCTTGTATGTCAGTGTCCAGCAGAAAATGGTGACCTTTTCAAATCATTCCCTATTACTGTATACAGGGAAATTTTCGCCCCCATTTTATTTTCGCCCCTTTCGCCCTACCCTCATTTGGGCGAATTTAAAACGGGGCGAATTCAAAGAATACAGTATAATTTCTTAAACAAAACTATGACTGGGCGAATTTAAAACGGGGCAAAATTCTTTACAAGCGTGAAAGGGCGAAAATAAGACGGGGCGAAAATAACCCTGTATACAGTATTTTCATTTTCTTTGTTATCTTTGCTAATTTAGTTCCTAGAATGGTTCCGATGCTGATTTGCTGACAAATGAAGGCTGAGAACTAAATTTTACAGAAATTTCATTTTCTTAATACATGTGTTATGTTTTTAGAATACTATAAACAGAGAGGCGGCACTGTTTGAGTTCCGTAAAACAGACGTAGCGCCAGTGTTGGTGATTTTAGACAGAAGAGATGATGCTGTTTCACCACTTCTTAATCAGGTCTGTATATCACCTGTTTAGAAATAGTAACAGATTACACTTATGGATGACATAGAAAAATTACTGATAATGCAGTGTGTTCTTGGTTAACTGTTAACTTGCAATTGGAAATTCATTGTCTAAAAATGCTAGATCAAAGTCCTTTATTAAATCAGATGAACTTTTCACTGAATTTTTACATTGGTTAATATTGCAAGACTTGTCTTTAATATTTAATTTCTGTGTTTTCACTTTTGCATTATTTAGTCAAGCCTTCATTTAAAATAATTTTTTGCAGTGGACTTACCAAGCCATGGTTCATGAACTTTTAGGAATAAACAATAATCGCATCAATCTATCAGATGTACCAGGAATCTCCAAAGATCTGAAGGAGGTAGTTCTGTCAGCTGAACATGATGAATTTTATGCCAATGTAAGTAACATATGTTCAGAATTATGAAAAAGATGGCAGGCAAAACTTTATATACCTGTATTTAATACATATACTTGACTAGATGAAATTGATATACCGGTACTGCAAAATACACATAACTGTAAATATGACCCTTTTTTAGCTCAATAACATCATTCTTTTTTTTCAGTATTGAATTTATGATATAAATAATGTTATTTGAAAAAAAATTGCTAATTTTTAACTGCCAGTTCTGAATTTTATATTTTTGCACAATGTATAAAGAGACAGATGTTTACATGATAGAATTTATGCTTTCTTACTTAACAGAATATGTACAATAATTTTGGAGAGATAGGAACAAACATCAAAGATCTTATGGAGGAATTTCAGAAAAAGTCACAAAGTACAGCAAAAGTGGAATCCATCGCTGACATGAAAGTATGTACAGATTTATGAAAGGTTTACATTCTAGTTTTCTCATGTTTGTTTCTCTTTTGCAGTTTAGTAGGGGAGGAGCCATGCTTTCAACAATTTGTATGATTGTTTCTTTGAGAATCTCTTTCTCTTAAAGATCAGAGGCAAAATCATTTCTTGCCAAGGTCTTTTTAGAAGAGTAATGTTGAAAAAAGACACATTTTAAGTGTCATCATTTGACAATAGACCCGTTGAAACGTTATGAAGAAGAAAGCAAACAAAAATCAACTGTCCTCTGATATTCTCTGTTTTAGGCTTTCATAGAGAATTACCCCCAATTCAAGAAGATGTCAGGCACTGTTGCAAAGCATGTGGCAGTAGTGGGGGAATTATCTCGGCTAGTCACTAAACATCATTTGATGGAGGCATCGGAACTAGAACAGGAATTAGCATGTCAAGGGGACCATTCAGCTTGTTTACAGGTAACAAGCAGAAGCTCAGCCAAGAAAATAACACGTTTTTACATGTGCATATTCTTTCAAGAAAACGAGCAATCTGTATTGGAAAATATTTTGTCAAGGGAACACCATATAGGTTTACATTTAAATCATCTATCAGAGAGACATTTTTTATACATCAATAGTCCATAATTTGCTCAGCTTTCACTTCTCAGGTCCATATAGCCATATACCTGATGCATAAATAACTTTTATTTTTTTTAGCTTTACTGGTCAGAGACCAGAAGAGCTTATGCGATAGTAATGCGTCCGGCGTCCGTCCGTCTGTCCGTCTGTCTGTCTGTCTGTAAACAATTTTTCAAATGCTACTCCTCCTACAGTTTTGGTCTAATTTCAATATAACTTGGCACACAAGTAGACTACACTAAGATACATAATTCTGTATATCGGTTTTTGATTTCGATAAACGGTGTTGCCGTGGTAACTAAAAATAGAAATTTCTGTGAAATTCTTTCAAAATGCTACTCCTCCTACAGTTTTGATCTGATTTCAATATAACTTAGCACACAAGTAGACTACACTAAGATAAATAATTCTGTGTATCGGTTTTTGATTTCGATAAACGGTGTTGCGGTGGTTACTAAGAATAGAAATTTCTGTGAAATTCTTTCAAAATGCTACTCCTCCTACAGTTTTGGTCTGATTTCAGTATAACTTGGCAAACAAGTAGACTACACAAAGATACATAATTCTCTGTATCGGTTTTTGATTTCGGTAAACGGTGTTGCCTTGGTAACTAAAAATAGAAATATCTGTGAAATTTCTTTGAAAATGCTACTCCTCCTACAGTTTTGGTCTGATTTCAATATAACTTGGCAAACAAGTAGACTACACTAAGATAAATAATTCTATATATCGGTTTTTGATTTTGATAAACGGTGTTGCTGTGGTAACTAAAAATAGAAATTTCTGTGAAATTTCTTTGAAAATGCTACTCCTCCTACAGTTTTGGTCTGATTTCAATATAACTTGGCAAACAAGTAGACTACACTAAGTTAAATAATTCTGTGTATCGGTTTTTGATTTCGATAAACGGGGTTGCCGTGGTTACTAAGAATAGAAATTTCTGTGAAATTCTTTCAAAATGCTACTCCTCCTACAGTTTTGGTCTGATTTCAGTATAACTTGGCACACAAGTAGACTACACTAAGAACATAAAGAGACTTTATCAAGGTTCATTACCGGTATTCTATTTATTGCTGTTGTAAAGTTTCAATTCCCAACTGCTTAAGTACTTTTCTCTTCCTTTGCTATAAGTACAAACCAGTAGAGCTTTAGTCTCGACAGAGACTTCTGGTTTCAGAGGATAAAATCTCTGTTGTCCAATGACAAACTACAGCCATTAGATATGCTGCGTCTGGTGATGTTGTATGCCCTACGATACGAGAGTCACAGTAATAACGACATATCAGGACTGTTAGATGTTTTACGCAAAAAAGGAGTCAGCGACAAACTCAGAAATGTACGTATTAAGGTTCATTGATAAGAGGAATAACTCTTAATGACATAAAATTTCTATAGTTTCCTTATAGATTTTCGGATGATGTATATTGTTTCTTTTTTATGGTTTGATTTTGCTTCACAGGCTAGGCTTAAATTGTTTGTATTTTACTTTTAAAAATACTTAGCTTTTGAAAAGTCATAAGATCTAAAGCAATATTTTTTTTTTGAGTGAATAGAGGGTTTATGAATTCAAAGACAGAAATGTTAATTTATGTGAATATTTCATTAGTTTTAACTATTTACAATGTACCTGCTTTCTAAACAACCAATTTCTGTTTTACAGTGTGTAATAATGAGTGTTTGATCTCTACAGTTAGTCCCTGCCGTCTTGGAATATGGAGGCCGTAAAGCCAGGGGCAGCGACTTGTTTGGTAACCAAGATGCAGTAGCTATGACAAAGAGATTTTTCAAAGGGTTGAAGGTAGGACAATAGGAAAGCACCATTTTTCTCCAACTTTCTACATTTTTACAATGGCTGCAAGTTTTTGTTTTTTGTTTTTGTTCTTACTAAAGACTCATAGTTGTAGCTAAAACAGTGGTGTACAGTAAACATGTTTAAAACCAGGTGCCAGGGATGAATGATTTTGCTTCATTGTAAAAATAATTTATTATATCTGTTAAGTTCACACAAAAATTAAAAAGCACCAAGAAAGAAAATGACTTGTATGCAATTGCCAGTTCATTACAAGTGTGTTTGTTACAAGCAGGTTACACTGTATTTGCTTCCTGAATGAATTTAATTGCAGTAGAACTTTTGGAATCAATGTAATAGAAATTGAAGTTTTATAAAATTCATTTCAGGGAGTTGAAAATATATACACCCAACATAAACCAGTAATGTTTAATGTTTTGGATCAGCTGATCAAAGGAAAGTTAAAGGAGGGAAGTTTTCCATACCTGGGTACAAGTGTTCTCAAAGAAAGGTAAGCTGAATGTTAGCATCTTTTTTTGTTTGGAATATAATCTTTTGCTATATTGATTTGTTTAAATAATTTTTTACCTAAACTTCAAAAGAATGCAGGGGTTGGCTTAAAATTAAATGCTCCCCCCCCAAAAAAGATCACCAATGTGTTTTCTATTTAAATTGACAATGATAAAGTTGAACATCCTCCACCCTAAATAAAAATTTATCCTTGTTAACCTTTTCAGGCCTCTGAAATCAATTAAGTTTACTGTTCAAGTCTAAATAAAGATAGTCTCCATCGTAGAGAACAATTTGTATGGTTGATTAATATATTATATTTTGTTATAAAAGTGATGTTAAAAATCATTTCAGACCTCAGGATATTATTGTGTTCATGATCGGAGGGGCCACTTATGAGGAAGCTATGACTGTCCACACTCTTAACAGAACCACCCCTGGTGTCAGAGTGGTGCTAGGATCCACCTCAGTTCTTAACTTCAAAAGGTAGGATTTTTAAGATTTTTTCCAGATTCATTATAAGTGTTGTATTTTCACACAGTTCGACTTCATTTTCTTGACAGAAAAACTCAACTTCCACATATCCGAGAGAATTGAAAGTCTCAACATCTTTTTTTCTCTATGTAATGTAAGTCCATGATCTCAAATCCTCTGAAATCTCAATGTTTTATCTCACTCACATTGAGTTTGAGATAACAAGGTTAAACTATATTTTTGTAAAATGATTATTTCTTCTTTTACAGTTTTTTGGATGAAGTCATGCAGGCCGTAAGAGGACAACCTTCCAATCGTTTAGGAACAAGATGATGGAATCAAAACCATGTTTGCCAGTCTGTGATTTAACATATATGTGCTTAATTTTGTCACAAACCATTAATACGGAAACCAAGAATGTACACAGCAATTGTGACATTTCTGTTACTAAAGGAATCTATTGGAGAATCTTGAAGAAGACAAAAAAATACAATGTTATTGAAAAGAGGCATTCCAGTGGTTACTACATTTAACATAGTTGTTTATGTAATTTTATCAAAATGTTCTAAAATAGCTTCATAATGTGTAAACTTAAGGACCACGGCAGAGTGACTGAACTTGATAGTTGTGCATTTTTACTCTTATCAGATTGCATGGATTTGATTTATATAAAGAATAAACTACATTTCAAAGTTATTGTAGTCATTGTAAGGTCACAGTTATATACTGTGATTTATTAATGCTGGATTATATGACATTTGGCAGAAATAAGCTTAATAATTTGTACTTAACTCTTCGAAGTTTCAGCTAAACTATGGTCAGTTTTTTATTTTTATTTTGAGGCAACATTTTTTTTTGTGGAATTTACTATAATTGAAAATATGTAAATAAAATTTTTATTAATTTAGGTTTCAAAACACTGAAGCTATATCGTGAGTGCAATATTTGTGCACTGTAATGGAATATAAATTTGGTACCATAAATGAACATATTTTAACTTTGGACATTTAGGGCTTGTGCAATAAATTAGGATTAGAATGTACGTTTCATATATATCTTGTTCAACCCTTTAAATGAATAAATCATACGAAAATTCACATTATTGCTTTGTGGAATGTATAAGCTTTTTACTTGTTCCAATGTATTGGAGTAGTAGAATGTTATTCTATATGTTGGGTAATATTTTTATCACCTTTGCATCATGCTTAAACAAAATCATTTTTGTTAGTGTTCGATTTATGATTTTGACTTATTATTTCAGGCAAAATGAAATTTTTTGACAGTCAGAGTAAATACATCCTGTATTAACTACCTTTTCATGAGGTCCAAACACGTTTACCTTTTTAAAAGGCAAAATAATGCATTTTTTGCTTTAATACACATTTTTAGTTTCCATTACGCACCTCTGAAAATACCCCCCCTCCCTCGTTAATTCTACCCCTTTAAGATTTTGCATAAGAAAAAAAGTTAGTTGAAACAGAGACAGGTCTGTGGTTGAAGAGTTAAAATCATTTTCTCCGTTTTACAACTCATATTATGCTCTCTAACTTGGACTTACATTGGATATAAGCATATTTGGGTTGTAAAATTGTGAATATTATAGATGGCAGATCCTTGTAGTTTTGAAATGTTTAATAACCAAATTTCTTTTTATACAGTCAAACTCTGATATCTTGAACTTTTATATTCTGAATACCTGAGTTGATTGGATACCAACGTGTTCCTCCTTTGAAAAAAAAGTAATTAAACAAATCTTTATTTTCCAGCCACTAATATTGTCCGAAGGTGTTAATTCCATGTACAGATTTATTCAATTTTGTGTTGACTTCTATTGCTACTCTAGTAGTGATCATAGCGGGCGGATCATATGTTTTAATTTTCATTAGAAAGGATTGATAAATTATGATTTTAATCAATTATTGCGCAGAACTGTGGATAAAAAGTATAATTTACATTCAACTTTAGCAATAAAGTATTATTTTCACATTGGATTTTAAACAAACATTGAAGATATTCAGTGATCGACTCTGAAATATGTCAGATTTATAAAATTTTGGACAAGAAATTGAAAGACGTAAGCAATCCTGGACTACATTAAAAATATTTCGGATGGGATGGGGGTTCCTGGTCAGTTCGTGCTTACAATAGAAGTTTGTCAGCTGTTACAACTGGAAGGGAGGGGGTGTCCGGAAACATCGTTTTCACGATCGAGAGATACTGGTTGGGACTGCAAAGTATTCAAGTTTTATTTTACCCTGTCAGGCTTTTAATTGCAACTTTCCTTTTAAAACTTTCTGGCGTGCAAACACCTTTAAAATATAACAACTAGTTGTAAGAGATTAGATGTTTACCGAAAACAACGAAACAATTTGAAAGAACAATGGAGTTACAACTAAATACATGTCCAAGACAAGGAATCGCTATTGAATATATATGTACATTCAGAATTAAATCCCTCCTATTATTTAAATCGTTTGTCTTATTATCGGAATATTGTGTATTATTGTTCTGCGCTTTGAGATTCCGTCTAAAACAAATAGGTTTA